CTGTAGATTGGGGGTACAGAGGTCCCCTATATATACTACTGTACATCTGTGGCTACGTAGTACTATACAGTACATTCCCAGGATGCACAGTCGCACAGAGAAGTAGTGCGTACACAGCGAAGCTGTGTGTGTACCACATGAGTAGTACAGCCTCGGTTATTGCAGTAACCGGCTGTGCCGTTCCATATCTTGTGACGGCTGTGTTAGGCAAGCTGTGTAAACCAGCGCCTGTTCAACAGTGGTGGTCAAGGTCAAGGTCAAAGCTAGTTGTATGCGCCGTCACCTACCGTGTTGGCAGCGGCCGATCTCCAGAGGCGTCATACGTCATGACTCCTGCAGGTTGACCCGTCTCCTCCTTCATCTCAATTCATGTTTGGACTCTGCTTGCAAGCAAGCAGCACGCTTTCCCTACGCTTACGCGTAACAAGGGACGGTATTTTCTTGAACAGCTGCACCCTTCCCTTTAACTCGTAGACAGTCGTTGTAATTACGGCCTACCATGAGGCTTGGCCTCGCAGGGCAATAAACGGGATCCAGAAAGAAAGAAAGAAAGGGATGGTATTTAACGATAGGGATGATACATTGGAGATATATGCACAGCTAGCTATGCAAACAAGCCTCTATGGGACGCGACATGGCGCATATATCCAAGCCGATCATGCCATTCGACGCATGAGTTGCAGGCCTCCCGAGAGGAAGGCTAATCGCTCAAGGTCAAGTCGATCGTCTCTCCCTGTACCAAACATAGCCGAGAGGACGACTCGGCGACCGGTTCTTCCTTCTTGACCCTTTTGGCTTTAGACATCTTGCGCCTCTTCTTTTTCCGCGCCATCTTATCTATCCGTTCCATCATCTGAGAGAGCTGTCCCTGCAGCTTACTATCAGTGAGACGCGGATGAAACATTGGGGTATCTCGTGCCGAACCTTCAGCACGCTCAGCTCCTCTTCGCCCTCATCCGAGGAATCCACTATGTCTGGCTTGACGTCTTCTTCGTCGTTGTCACCAGCAAGCGCCTGAGTCTCATCGCGTTGACGCTTAGGCACTCTGACAACATTGTTTTCATGGTCCTGCTCCTGATGGAGGCTGCAACGCGTCGCTGGCAGATCTAGAAGGGGGGCGATGCCTCGAGCTTGCAACAGAGCTGCAGCCAACGTGTCACCGACATGAGATAACAACGAGGCCATCTCTGAGACTCACAGATAGGGCGATAGCGAAAGAGGAACTTGACTAACGACCCCTCCTCTAGGTCAGTCAACGTAGCAATAGAAACGGGACCGCGGGGGTATATTGAAATCGTTTCTCCAAGGCTTGGTGTACATCAGGAAAACGTCACGGACTTGTACAGGTACTTGGGGTACTTGGCCAAGTACCTCAAGTATCCCAAGTACCTCAAGTACCCCAAGTCCAATGGACTTGGCCAAGTCGGGTGGGTCGACTTGGCCAAGTACCAGGTACTTGGCCAAGTCCTCCAAGTCCCTGTTCAAGTTCATGCCCAAGTTCACTGTGAGATGTATTGAATAAAGATGATATGCATGGAAGTCAATCAAAGGACAGCTGCTCTTGATCAAGGTCAAGTGTAC